GAGGGGTCCTTCCATGCCTCTATACCATAACCAGTTGGCCAGCGGTAAGACCACAAAGGAATGCTTCCGTTATCAGGCTAATGTTCTGTCTTAAACAAAAACCTTTTGCCCACCCTTGACTGTTGTATTTCATCTCAGCCCCGCAACCACGGGCCGAACCCAACAGGTGGTCCGATCCGCTCAAAAGCCCCCCCCCCCCTCCCCCGCCCCCCGCTGGCAGTCTCAGGGTCCGTCCCCATGTCGCCGCGCCCTGCCGTGACCCGCGCGCCCGTCCGCCAGCTGTCGGGCGGCCAGAAGCAGCGGGTGGCGATCGCGCGCGCGCTGCTCGGCCGGCCGGCCGTGCTGCTGCTGGACGAGGCCACGTCGGCGCTGGACGCGCGGAGCGAGCGGACCGTGCAGCGGGCGCTGGAGGCGGCCAGCCGCGGGCGCACCTGTGTCGTGGTGGCGCACAGGCTCACCACCGTGCAGGCGGCCGACTGCATCGCCGTGCTGCACCGCGGCCGGCTGGCCGAGACCGGCTCCCACCAGCAGCTGATGGAGCGCCGCGGCCTCTACTACCAGCTGTACAGCGCCCAAACGTAGCAGGGTGGGACTCTCAGATGTATTAGGGATGCATAACGCTCGGGTATGTAGTTGGACTGCACTGTCGGCTGCACAGCGCTCAGGTATATAGGTGGACTGCTGTGTCGGCTGCGCAGAGCTCGGGCGTATATTCCGCTGTACTACTAGATGTACAGCACTCTGATGCCGTAGATCGCACTGCACGGCACACAGCCGTATCGTTAACTCTACACTCACAGCGTGTAGACGTAGCAGGCTGTGCTACAATTCTAAGGCTTTCCGGCGACCTGTACAGCCAGGCGGTCTGCTCTAGACAGCTACGCCGCTCAGGTTTTTCACAATTTTGCGGCGCACGCGCTTCAGAAATATCACGCTGGGAGAAGGGAAGCTGCTGGTGGAAGGGCTGCGTTACTTTGAGGTGCTGGCGTACAAGCCCATGTCCCGCGATGATCACAAAGATGTAAGAGTCGTTAACTTGTCGCGTATACGCACGGCATAACGCACCCGCGTGGTTTCAAACTGGTTTGGACTCTTGTCAGGACTCGTGTTCTTTTCGGCTCTGCTTGACTCCCGCACAGGCGCTCGTCGTCATTTCTTCCCGCCTTGACGTGATGATGCCTAGCTTTGTATTCCGATGCATTTCACTGGTCATTGATGCAGAGAGCATTGTTTGGTCGTGTTGTGCACGCTCGATGGAGTGAGTCGTTTGCCCTTCCTGAGTTTGTCCGGTCCCGCTGAAGCCGCGCCTGCCGGCTGCGCTGTGCTCGTATTTAAATGTGATCCGTGGATTACGCCGCTTAAATGAGCACATGCTTCAACGCTGATAGCGCCGCGAGATGGAGGTGTCAGCAGCCCAGCGTAGCGCGTGGTGTTTGGTGTCGTTACGCCGCGCTTACGTGAGCAGTATTACGATGAGAGGCTAAGGTAGGTCAGTAGCGCCCCTTACTGTTACGGTCCGTCGTGTGTTGGTGCTCCGTCACGCGACCTTTACTCATGAACAGTATTGTGGTGCCTCGGAATATGCTCGTTAATTACAACACGGTATTACGTAACAATACTCTTTCAACGGTGTCAGGCCGTCGTGAGATTAATTATTATTTTTGTGTATCCTTTTACGCTGACGCCCTCCGAAATGTTGTTAATTGTTACCATATAGATGATAATTACCACGTGCTGTTACGGTGAGAGCCGAGATCGTGACGTCGCCGACCCATGACGCGCGTCGTGTTGTGATCCCGTCTGATCCCAGGTTCGGATGACGTGATCCTAATGGATCCTATGTCTCGGATGGCCTGATCACAGCTGGTCACAGGTCCCAGAGAGCACGGTCCCATTTGATCCCGGTCTCAGACAGTAGGATCCCACTGCCGCCTGCTGGTGGCGAAGCGGCCATTTGGTAACGCTGTCTGGCGCTGAGGCCAGTATCGTATCGGGACGTGTTACGTCGCCCCGCAGCGTGTTGGGGCGCCTTGTGTTTAGCAGCAGCCAAAGTACGCACCAACGCTACAAAAGTTGCCATTAGTTCGCTAAAAATCGTATCAATCGCATTGTCGCGTGCGTTCGCACTCGCGTTGGGACATTGACGCTGGGGTCACGGGACGGGGCCATCGGACGCGGTCGCGGGGTTCACCGGTGTTTGGAGTGCGGGTTAGGTCACATAGTTATGCTGCGGTTGTTACCAGTGCTGGTGGGGCGTTTTTGTTTGGTGCGCGCGTGGTGTTACGGGGCAACGTTGTGCGATTATGTGTCACCCCTCACTGTTGCTATGTTAGAGCACTTGGTATGAGGCACATTCCGTATTGGGTTGTGATCTGTCACAGCTAGGTTTGCGCTCGGCACGTAATTGGCTCCGCATTCACTAACATTTTTAGTCGACTCTTCACGAACCAACACAAAAAGTCCGCATGGTTTAGCCGGTTGTTGGAGATTCAAACATTACGTTCTCCGGTTACGCCTTTTGCCATCTGCAATGGCCTGTGCTGGCCATTGCGCTCCCCACCCGGCAGATAAAAGGGTAGACACAAAACTGGGCTAGTTCGGAATTCTTGTGACACCGAGGGCAAGCCTGTACACAATTGCTCTCGTTGGCACTGTTAGACTGTGTGACGTAGCGTGTCGATGTGTTGTTACTCGCTGTTACGCACGTTGTCGTTGTCAGGAGCGCGGCGTCGGCTGTTTGTTCGTCATCCATGCAGCGCCACGTGGGCCCCAGACCGTCGTTTGCAATCGCTCCACTCTGCTGGACAGTACTTGGCAAGTGGAGAGGAGGGGTCGGGGGTGGAACAGGCGGTGGCGCACGCCCACCAGGGGGTTTTCACGGGGATGAGCTGGCCCGGTCGGTCGGACCGCAATACACTCAGCCTACCGTACCTGTGTCGTATTGAAGCCTCTGGCAGACGGGTCACTGACCCGCGTCACGCCGGACAGCCGGCAATATACTGCTGACAGGGGCGGTGGAGAATGGCATGTTTGCCGATATTTTGCAAGTATTCGGACGCGAGGTCGAGGGCCAAGTTTCTAGGTATTAGTTGTGATAACTCTGAGGTGAAGGTTAAATGCATAACAGCCCGAGTGCAGTAAGATATTCCTTGCGCGCTCTGCATCGTCAGCAACTCTAGCAGGATAATCACGCATTCATTACAATATAGTTATTACGCTCGAGCCTCCTACTACGAAGAAGCTCACGCGCCGCGGTGTGATGCCATATATTTTTATCAGATGTTAATGCTATAGCTCGCCGCAATTCTGCATCGCACGTCTGCATCGGACCCCACCTCCACCCGACCGCATATTAAGCATCGCATCCGTGGCTCACAGGCATATATTTATATACATCGGGACAATCGAATGTTGCGTTCACGATCTCAACAGTAAAACGTAACTCTTGCATTGATAACCATCGGGTAGATCACAAGTTTCTTCCATACCTCCTCAATAGAGGATAATCGATACCAAACTGCGAAGCCCCGAGTCCCAGCACTGTCCCCGACCCCCGAACCCACACACGTACAGCCAGCACCACGGCGGGTGCGGCGCAGACGTCACTACGCCATAAGTATCAGTCCAGGCCTGTGGGGACGGCCGCAGCATCTCACGCTTGACTACTGCACGCCCCCAGATGGTCACCGGCCGGCCGGGGCCGATCACATTTTGGACTTGGCCGAGAAGAACTTCATGATGGCGTTGACGCAGTCGTCGCTGGTCCACCGCTCGACCAGCCGGTCGCACTCAATGTCGTTGACCTCGTGCAGCAGCTGCCTCTCGCGGTCGCGGGTGAGCGCCTTGCTGTACACCAGCGACTGGAACAGGGCGGCAGATGTCGGCGGGGTGGCCTACCGCGCGCTGGCGGACGGGGCCACCACTACCACTAGTCTCTCGGATCAACGGCTTGGCCGTGAGCGAATGTAAAACACCAAACCCTTGACAGGCAGGACCTTGCCGGACCAGACAAACGTGCAGTCTTTTGTCTAAATAATCACTTCAGCCTACGATAAACAGAGACAGCAAACAATTCTCCCAACATCCGCCCAACCTTGGCAAGAGTAAGTCACGAAGGCTACGCAGCTTCGCCACAAGCAAGCCCGGTAGCTCCACCCGCATGAAGACTAAACACGGCGAGCTGGCGGCCGACTCCCGCGGGCCGGAGCGCGCCCGGCCGCTACCTTGACGGGCAGCTCGGCGTGCTGGCGCAGCCGGGCCCAGATCTCCTGGTGGAAAGCGTCGGCGGGCAGCACCTCGGTGACCAGGCCGACCCGCTCCGCCTCGTGCGCCGTCAGCTTCTTGTTAAACAGCAGCATCTCGGCCGCCTGGGGGACGGTGGGCGTCAAGTGCGACGGCGACGGCGCCTCCCACACGGACATCGCCCAGACACGTCCTCAGACTGTCACACGGACATCGCCCAGACACGTCCTCGACTGTCACACGGACATCGCTCAGACATGTCCTCAGACTGTCACACGGACATCGCTCAGACACGTCCTCAGACTGTCACACGGACATCGCTCAGACACGTCCTCAGACTGCCACACGGACATCGCTCAGACACGTCCTCAGACTGTCACACGGACATCGCTCAGACACGTCCTCAGACTGTCACATGGCGTGCAGTGGTGACGGGCCCGTGCAGCGCCCGGCCCGGCCTCACTAGCTGTGCCCACCGGCCATCGAGTCAGCAGGTGAGGAAGCTGTCCGCCGCCGATTGGCGTCATACCAGCTCGGCGCATTTATCGCTTGCAAAGTTACATGTTCTTCTGCAAACGCACGTCAGGACATGCTGACGTCACAACTGACGCCATCTCCCACGCCGGTCGCAGCAGAGCGAGACGGCACGCACGACCCAGCAGCGCGCCAGGCAGCGACGATCACGCGAAACGCCAGCTGAACATCCACGTGCGCCCGCACAGCGCGGTCAATAACCGCCAAATGTCGCGTCGACGCGCCCGGCTATGAAGGCGTCTCTGCGGGCCCCGGCGGGCCGTCCGAGCGTCGGGCGGCCGTACCTTGCCAGGTCCCATGATCTGGGGGAAGGTGTAGCTGGAGCAGCCCTCCGGCGACTGGCCCAGGCTGGAGAACGGCGTGTGGAAGGTGGCGCGGTCGGTGGCGTACACGGCGTCGTACATGCCCATCAGTGTGACCGAGACGCCAATGGCCGGGCCGTTCACCACCGCCACCAGTGGCTTCGGGAAGTCGATGAAGGCCGACACAAACCGGCTGCCGGCCGGCCGCGCAGCACACGGTCAGCAGGTGAATCGGCTGCCGTCCCCTCAAGCGAGACACGGCCAGGTGGCGCAGCGTCACGGGCCGGCTCATCCCCTCCCCAACCCCACCCCACCCCAACACTGCAGCGGCCAGGCATTCAGCCAGCGGCTACGGGCACGGCGAGGTCTGGGGAGGAGGGGCCATGGTATGGGGTGCAGAATAGACCCAGTATGTGCCATGCATATTGCAGCACATGTCAACAAACCAGACGCGTCAACAGGTGTCCGGGACGCCAACAGGCAACGACATATGTTACACGCACGACAGGACCTCGCGGTGCATGCTAGTGAAAGTTATTGGCAAGGGAAGCAGAGAACGACACAATATGCAGCAAAACATGGCAGCAGCTGCAACAACATTCGGCCCGTCTCCCCCGGCTAGTCTTCCCTCTCCTATCAAAACTAATCCAAAGGTGCTTCCCACTGTCATCGCGCCTTCTGGACGTACTTGAGCAGTTTGCCAGACTCCTTGGCTAGGTCCTTAATGTCGCCCTGGATGTTGGTGAAGTTGCTCAGGTCGTTGCCGCTGCTGTAGAAGTCGCCGGCGCCTGTGGTGACCGTTATTACCGTCTTGGGGTCGTCGGCCGCCTCCTGCAGCGCCGCCGCGATCTCGTCGTACGACTGTGCGGGGAATATAAGCATGTCTGTCAGTTTACCATGGACATCTGTCACATTGATTCCAGTCAGTGCTATCGCTGGTAGTCTGTTGTATATATGTATGGTGACAGTGATGTTAACAGTTACTACACATAATGACAACCATACACATTCATGTCACAAGTCTAGCATATTAGATGCGAAGTCATCAAACATGAAAGACATATTTTACTTTTCATTTGTTTGTGTGATGAATCAGCCCTGCAGTTACACTGCATGGTGCGTGGTGCATGGAGTGGCAGAGAAGGTACTTCAATATTCATGGGTGACACATGACTTCATTACATTTTTAAAACCTCCACACAGCTCACCGGTCAACCCACAATACTTGCCTCTTTAAGGAACGCATTTTTCTTCGCGGGACGGTTGAATTTGATTATCCGCAGTCCGCCCTCCAGCGTTGACTCGATGTACTTATACTTGCCCGGCTCGGCGGCAGGTGCCGCACTGGACGACGCTCCCGCCAGCTCATTCACCAGATCCACATACGCCTTTTGCGCGTCCTCCTAAAAAACAAACCGCCGTGTCGGTATTTCAAGAAAGTGTCGTGTCAGGCACAAGTTGACATTAACACATGCACGGGTGATGTGACAACCAACGTGACTGAAGTCCCGCGGCACGCGAGCGGGTAGTACCAGCGTTCAATGTCCGGCAATATCCTGACGATGGCACACGCACGTGGACGGGCGGGCATGGCAGCCTCCGACTGGCCGCAAAAAGGTATTGATCGCCCTGGGACCTGAATCACTCCCACAAACGTCCGTTACCTTACGTATGTGAACACGTGGTCGGCGGAGTCACCCTTCCCGCCGTCGGTATTTGCACATCACATCATAGCCCTGATCAACCATTGCCGACGAGAACGAGAGCGACAGCACAACGCAAGACACCACGTGTTTCAATTCACATCCCAAATCTCCAGCAGTCTTGACGACCCCACATGTCTGGACCCCCGACTCCTCACAGCGCCATGTCTCAGACCCACCTGGGACATGTCCCAAACCCACCTGGGTCATGTCCGCCAGAGCGTTCCAGGCGTCCCATTTGGCGCGGCCCACGAAGTCCATCATGCCCGGACGGCTGGTGGACACCTGGCCCTGGGTGGCCTGCTTGAACAGCGCGTAGATCTTGAGTTTGGCCTCATTGCCTGGTGAAGAGGAGGGCCAGGTGGGCAGGTGAGGTTGGGCTATTAACCAGCAAATCTCAAGCAGGTCCCTTCGCCAATGACTGAGATGAGCGTTGTTTCTCACATACATCGATGGTAGGTGATGTAATGAGCACCCTCGATTCAAAAAGTCAAGGAAGATTTGGACTGAGACTGAGGTGTTCACTTTACGAAAGTCGTCTCGAGCAGTTATACGCAGGTTATTGCAGTTGGCGATGAAACTTTCGCATCGCGGAGATAGCAAGCTGCCTTGTGTCAAAGTAAACCACCCCAATACCTCTCACTGCACATCACCAGACACAAGATGGCCAGCTTACAAATGGCTACTCCAAATCTCTGGGGAACTTGGTTAATATGCCAAGTAGAACTGGTTGCAATCATGGTTAAATCACCACATCATCAGAGAGGTGACAGATAACCTGCTTAAGGTTTGTTAACATGTTTGTCTAATGCAGAACTTATGACAGTACGTCTATCATTTTCGCAAAGCTTCCCCTCCTACCTAAATCTGCCAAGTCTAATACACTATGCGAACACAGCGGCACACACTGTACACTTAAGGCAGTGGTTCAAAGTTCAGCATTGCCAGCAGGACTATGCTTGACCATCAGTACATGCAAACTCAGGGTGTTCTCATGACTTTATGTCTGAGGAGAAAGACCTCCATAACTATTAAATCAAAGGGTCATAGATAGGCACTTGTAGTAGTTTGGAGCATTTGCAGATGTACTCATTCATTTCATACCAGGGTCCTCTGGCAGACTGTTCAGTTTGGCCTTAGCTTGCTCAAACTCAGCAGACAAAGAGCTCATCATCCGCATCATTGGCTGCTGTAACCTGGGAGAGAAGGTTAAAAACTCAAGATTGCTTCCCCAGGGGTACATATGCTGACAGCATTGCATGGGTGCTCTCCAGTTCCATGATCTTGGTCATGACTGCCAGTCACTGCCTGACCACCTGGGATACTGGAGCAACTACACACACAGCAAACTGACACTGCATGAGGTTGCACAGCCTACTTCAGTGACACACAGCCAAGACAAATCTAGCCAGTCTTAATCTGTGTTTTGTCATCATCATTGCTATTTGCACTTAAAGGCATTCCTAGCACCTGCAGCTAAAAAACATCAGTGGATATATCACTCACTACACAGTCTTCCTGGCAAGAAAGGCTGTCACCACCAGAAATCAAAACCAGTAGCTCTGATTCACCAGACACCCAGTTAAGCATTGTGCCAAATGCACCCCCACGCAGAAACTGGTGTTTGTTGGGAAGACAGTATGCTGCAGTGTGGAGTGAGTGAACACTGGATGCTTTTCAGTGTGTGCCTTGCTTTCACAACTTTTTTCCATGCTATCTCTTGCTCACTACCTTTGTTAACATTTCACTATCACAATCCACCTGGAATAGCAACATTTACATGTGTGGAATTAGTACCAATAACTATCAACTGTGAAATATCATATCCTTGGCCAAGATAGTCACATCTTTCAGCAACTTCCTTGAACAAGGGTGGCTGGAATGGGCTTAGCCAAAGTCAGGTGCTGTCATCAACAACCTGCATAAGAAACATAAATGTGCAGTCTAATCTTTGGGGTTTGTTACAATCATTATTATCAAATACAATACAGCATGTTTATAAGAGCACTATACCATGACAAACAGGACTTTTTATTGCTATTTTTGGTTTATTGCTGTGTTGGACATAATTGTCAATTTGTACTAGCCAATGGGACAATGTAAGGTTCATAGATATGTAGCACATTGACACATGCTTGGATAGAATTAAGTTGACCCTGGCAGATTTTCTAAACTGGCTTCTGAATTTGGTTTTAAAATTATGTTTGGCTATGGAAACTGAATAGTGGATTGTTTGGTTTCAAGAAATTAGATGCACCTCACAAGGTCACTGACCTACAGCAGGTTAAAGTCAGGATATGGTTTCTGTGAAGTCAATTTTTAGGGAATCCTTCAATCTGATGCAATAATGGAGTGCTATACAAAACCATACATCTCTGGGATTCTTTCTTAGGCAACAAAAGCATTGAATAAACAAATTCCATTGACCTAGGGTCAGGCATGAAGGACAGACCAAGATTAAAGTCAATATATTTTATTACTCTATGGCTTGTTGTATGGGGTAACTTCTGGTGCTTATATTGAATCTATTGAAACATGAACTGCATTGTACATCTTCCATGGACTTCATAAAGGTCAGAATAGGTCACTGACCTTAGGTGACCTAAGTCAACATTCTGCTTTGGAGAACATACTGCCAGCTCAATCTGTCACTGACCAAAATGCAAAACTCAAAGTTGTCTTGTATGAACTTGGTCACCATGATCTTAAAAATGTCTAACAAGGCCACTGATCATAAATGAGCAAGCAAACTTTTGCTTAGAACAGGTATCTAGGTTCTGGGGCACTTCAGATACCAACATAGAGTTTGACTTTGTTTGACCTTACTTGATCCAAAGGTCATAACCTAGGAATCTTGAGCTTTTACCCAAGTAGGTTCACATACAAGCCAACACACACTGTAAAATTGGTGTCTCCAGCTTTCTTATCTTCTGAGACCTAGGGAGAGTCAGATTGACCCCCACCCCACCCTACCCTAGCAGAGTATCTGACTGGCCATTGGGCCGAGTGTTAAAAGTAACCTGATCATGCAAGGACATTTTCTAAAACTTTATGATTGTATTTTGCCTTGCTGTAGGACAACAATACCCCATGGTGAACAGATCAGCACAGGCAGCATAAAAGTAACACTGACATGTTGCTGGCATGAAGAAAATAAATTGCAAAATTTTCTAGTCCCTGAGAGACGCTGCACCCCACCCCCAATGAACTAATTAACACGTCACTGGATAAAGATGTAGTACCTCCTTTAAAAAAAAATGTTCACTTGCTATTCGCCATGAGCCGCTACATCCCTACCTTGGCTGAAATCCCTTGGAGGCTCTGCTCACATTCAAAGCAACCCCCAGCACACGTCCCAGCGACATAACGTCCTTAACAAGATCGAGTTCTACTCAGTCTCGATTGACGATCTCCCTGCAAATAGTCGAGATAGTACGAATCACTGGGAAACGCGAAGAGAATGAAGGGGATCTCTTATATGGCAGCTTCGTATAGGAATATTGCAAGCTACCATATGGCATCGTGCATAAAAGGGTAATTTTTACCTTCATAAAACTTTCAACTAAGTCGCCTTGGAGCGATGGAGCTAATACTCGACCCGCATCACCGCCAATTGCCAAAACCTAGCTCATCGCGAAATCGTCTTTGTTTTTGAAGAAACTTGCCCTCACCATCCCCCATCTCCATAAATTTGACTTACGGTAAGGAAGGCACGTCAGGGCCGTGGTGCGAACTCAATTGCCATGTGACTTAGTTCCGAGCATTAGCTTAGCCTTGATGTCTAAGTTTCACAAAAAGTGTGGGCTACTACCTCGAAAACTTTCATCAGGCAGTACACCTACCCATACGCCGCTCCCCGCACATAGACATGCATTGTGAGGAGCTGCCGTTTAGGGGCTTTTTCAGTTGTTATTATATAACGGAACATTTTTTCATTATGGACGTCGAACAATTACTATTTTAGAATGACTCTACCAATTCCCGACATCAAGCATTTCTTGTACCAGACAAGTGGGCAGCGTTCTGTACGTCGAAAGTCTGTTGGCGTGCTTGCCTTTCACCTACCACTAGATTCAATACCGGTGCCGTAAAGTTGACTTCAAATGATCCACGCATGCGTAAAATGAGCCCACGCGCCGACATCCAGTCACAATAGTCCCAAGCCATCAGGAAGTTCTTCTAGATGCATGGCGCCAGCGTGAGCGTGTCAGATTAAGACATCGTGTTGGTTACTGTATCCACTTCGCACCTCTTTCCAACCCAGCATCCAACAACGTCCTGACTGAAACGAACCCTTGGCCGGGCATCAACAGCACACACTGAAATGCGGTCAAGGCCAGCCTGCATTCCGCAACCTGGCAGTCAGACGCGCCACCTCATTTCACCTGTGGCATGCCTTGGCACATCTGCGCGCATCACGTCAGATATTGGCATATCCCACCAGCACTTGCTCGACAACACCCAGCTGTTGTCGTTTCAGAACCTTGGCTATTTCTAGCACTTACGGCCACGCTGAAACTGGTCCGGTTCTCGCCACAAGCAACCCGGCAAAGTGTGCAGGCTGTGTCTGTTCTGTATTCAAGTTACAAATCTGGACCGGACGTGCCCTGACCCGAGCGACCACGTCACAAACAAGCCATCGCCATCCGGCTGCCGGGGTACGCGCGTACACAAAGATAGAGCGTCACAATATATCACGAGGGGTAGTTGGCCAGAGCGGAACGCTGGACAACAAGGTAGACTTGGCAGAAACCGCAGCAAATCAACGTTAGCGTCCACCCGGGCAAGCCGGGCGACAGTGCCACCCGCTAATCGCAAGATCCGAAGCGCGACAACCGTCACAAGAACCGCCCGCGAGCTGATAAAAAAGGGCGCCGAGTAAAACCCTGCAAGCACAGGCGGCAACGCCTGCAATAAAATGCTGCGTGCTTGCGGCGAAGAGTCGACAGCGGACGACACCCGGCGCTTACAAGACAGGGCGAACTCGGGTCGCAGTCACAACAGAACCTTCTCCAGATCGTGGCGCCTCGCGCACCACATGAGCGCGCGCCGACCGCGCCGACTGGCGCCGCCGGTAAGTTAGAGCAGCAAATAGCCAGAGTCCTGCCAGCACAGTTTCTCCGCACCACACCGAGCTCAGCGCCTCGATGGACCGACGGCGGCAGACTCGCACCACGCTCAGCTCAGCGCCTCACCCCACCGGCGGCGTCGCACTCGCATCACGCCGAGCTCAGCGCCTCGCCGGACCGACGCCGGCACATTCTCACCACGCACGCTCGCCGTCCAGCCAGCGAGGAGGCGCCGCGGCGCGGCAGCCGCGCCGCGGCAGCCGCACCGCAGAGCCGCCTGGCGCCGGCGCGAGCGGCCGGCCCTAGCGGCCGGGAGCGCCGCGCCGGCGGCGAGGCCTCGCCGGTGTGACGCACGCTGCGGCATGAGGCGAGGTCAGAGGTGACGACACCGACGCCCCCATTTAGGGCGTGTCGCTACAAATGTTCTGTGCTGTACGCACTGAAAGGGTCGTGGGAAATATAAAGGCATGACGACAGACTGGACGATAGCGGGTGTACTCTCGACGGAGCTGTCTGTAATGAGTCTGAATCGCTGCGAGGTGAACAGCACGGCATAACCACGGCAACAACCTTTCGCCAAATACGTGCGCATAGATAAGCCAGAATACACACATACATACATACAGACATACATACATACATACATACATACATACATACATACATACATACATACGTACGCATAGATAAGCCTTATTCATCGGAGAAAAACCAGGACAATGGAGATGAAGATGCATTGATATCTCGGAACATCCATTTATCAAAACGAATAGCAGAAGTGAATTCAAAGTTCCCTGCCGATGATCCTATTTAACTTTCTAGGTTTTTTGAAACAGCAAGCCACAGTTTTTACAAGACACTAACATTCTGAGGATTAAACAAGGAGTGATTGCCAGCCATTATCACGATACAGTGCATGTCTAAGAATAAGAACAAGCGAAATACGCGTGCATTCAATTCAGTTAAAGTAAACAGGCATCACGCACTACGATTCATTCAAGCATGCAAGCGAGTTGAAGAAAACGGGCATCACACATCACGCATCAATTATACGAGCAAACGATTTCAATTAAACAGGCATCGCACATCACGCGTCAGGCATCACTTACACATGTAAACGATTTTAAGCTAGCACACATCTCACATCAATGCACATACCATGTTCGCATAACCGGCCATGATGAGCCCTGTATGTTAAGATTTGGTCGTCGACTTTTTAAGAGAAAAGATTCACTTATTTTCCTGTCTGGGTGGTCCTGTGCTCTGTAGATGACTGAGTTCTTAAAGGGGCATAGGTGCATACCTCCCTCGTTTTCAGCCTGAGCGTTTTTGCCAAAAGAGGTCACTGAAATGGATATTTAAAAAAACGGAATAACCTTATAATATACAATATACTATACAATGACTATATAATAAGCTTTCAGTACCCATTTTTTGGCAAAACACGCTCGGGCTGAAATGCAGGGAAGAATGAACCCGATGCCCCTTTTAGAGCTTTAAGTCATTTTCAGAGCACAGGACCACCCAGACAGGAAAATAAGTGAATCTATTATCATAAAAAGTCGGCGACCAAACCTTGACGTACAGTGCTCACAATGGTCGATTATGCGAGCGTGATGTGCCTTGATGTGTGATGTGTACTAACTTAAAATCGTTTACACGCGTAAGTGATGCCTGACGCGCGATGCGCGTGATGCCTGACGCGTGATGCCTGTTTCACTGAAATTGTTTGCTTGTATCGTTGGTGCGTGGTGTGTAATACACGTTTACTTCAACTCGCTTGCATGTTTGAACGAAGCGTGATAGGTGATGCCTTGAATTTTCCTTTTTCCTTGAATTTTCCCGTTTCCCGAATTTCCCGAATTTTCTCGTTTCCTTGAATTCGATTGCGTGCACATGTCTTCTTCGCGTATGTTAATTCTTGGATATGCACTGTATCGCAGTAATGGCTGGCAATTGTTCACTGTTTAATCGCCGGAATGTCGGTGTGCTGTACAAACTGCGGTTTGCTGTTTCAAAAAAAGGAAAATCAAGTGAGGTCAGACAGGCAATCTTGAATTCACTTCTGCTATTCGATTCGTCAAAGGCATCTTGCCGAAATATCAACGCATCTTTATCTCCCAATCTCCTGGTTTCTCTCTGAGTAATAAAGCTATTACTTTCGTCTTATCTATGTGCATAACGTTCCTCGCGAATGCACTTCACAACTTAGTGAAACCATGAACATCTCTAGTGGTCACTGAAACGGTATTGCTTACAGGTAACTGCAGCTTATGCGCATGTCCGAACAAACGAGGAGAACGACTAGGCATTGGGAGGAATCATAAGCAAAAGAAACTCACACTCCTTTCAAAAATATCCTCCGTTTGGGTGCAGTTACAAGAGTGCGCAGCGCTTTTTCTTGGCGGGCTCCGGCGGTTCCAAAGCGGCCAGTATGGCCTCGTCAAAAACGTTCTTCAAACCCTTCTGCAAACGGACAGACCCAACGAGAAGTTAGCAATCAGCCCGTAGGTGGAAACACCACAGCGAATGCACACCATCTGCTACTTATGCATGATGGAAAACAAGTCCAACTGCTTGAAATGAAGCTGTGGGCATGCCGCCAAGGTTGTAACAACGCACGTCTTTTTCATATTTCACTGCTGTATTGGTGATGTGCGCATTAACATGCTGTCGACAGATGACAAACGTTTCAAACAAACAACACGGGATCATATTGTCGCGCCCCCACACTTACCAACTTCATCCTTACAATGCATCACAACACCATTACAGCTACAGCGCTAAGATCTGTTGATGATTTGTATCAATCTGACATATCTTGAAACATTTCGGGATCTGACATATCTCAGGCGCGTCTCGTATCTTGATTTGTAGTAGCCCAGTCAGGACAAGTCACAGCCTTTTTTTAGAAGCCAATACTATCAGCTCATCTCCCACTAATAATGCCTAGTGTTTGGTAGAATAATAATTTCGAGGTCACCAGGTATGTCATAGTCATTTGTCATGTACATAATCATAGTGATTGAGACTAAATGTCTCGCCGACTGCCAGGGTCATTTCGAGACGGACGCCTTTACAAGGGAGCCATGTGAGATGCTGCGGTGTCCCGCACCCGGCGCTGGTTTAGAAATAACATGCACACACATCGTCCGGCTCGCCAGTCACGCCCAAATGCAAAATCACATATAACTGATTTACTTGGACGACCTTCTAACTGATATCGGCCCAACCTTTTGATTTCTCCAGTGCGCCACTTACTTGAGGTTTTCGAGATGGTCATTGGGTAAGAAAGTTAGTTACCAACGAAAGCTTTCGTTTTCCATTTTGTCTCGTTATTTACCCTGATAGATTGTGAGATGTCCGGGAAGGAGTCAAAATACCTACAAAATTCAAGTAAATACATTGCATCAATGTGTTTTTTAATGCAATTTGTTCATTCCACCCGGTCTAGTTCTCCACCTCCCCATCCCAATCTTCGGGGCATGGCTATACCCATGATGATATAGCCGTACCCATTGTTGACTAATCCACGCAGTGTATTGCATTTCCCTTAAGCACCAAAGTCTAAGGCTGAAAGTTTTGAGCACACTCCTATCGATATTTGTGTTATTTGATACGCCAATGTTTCAAGGAGATATCTTGAAACAATGCAACAAGGCATATGAATAATTTGGCTGACTACTTTTGTTTAGACATCAAATATCTTGATTCGTTAATTTTGATGTCAAGTTGTCTATCGCTATCCATTTTGTTAAAATCGGGAAACATGACGGTAATCAAGCGCGATCTTTTACGACCTCACAGATGTTATTTTGGCGCAAGACGTACAATTAATCAATCGACAGCTACTGAAAATCTTGCATCAATACTTCAATTATTTTTTAATTATAGCGAAAATTGTTAACGGGGATACATTTGACCGCTCAGTCCATGCTGGATTGACAGGTAACACGAAGTGCACCCTCTCATTTCATAACAGCACAAGATAACAAGGAGTGCACCCTCTTATTCCACAACAGCACAAGATAACAAGGAGTGCATCCTCTTATTCCATAACAGCACATACCATCTTACAATAAGGATCACATCAACTCAACTGATTGTGGAGAAGATCCGTGACTCACACGGCAAATATAAATATGGGGGGGATCATTCCAATCTGCTGAATATAGAGTAATGATTAATATACAATGGCATTCTAGATTGTGCTGCACATTGTGGCTTCGCCTAGGAGATTCATGTAATTCGGTAAACATGTCTGGGGCTTAGCAGACCCTGGTCGTATTGGAATATATTTGACACCCCTTCCACCCATCGAGCACGTTTGTCGTCGGTCGATGTTTCTGTTTCAGTTGCAACCTGCCAGAGCAAACTTTTCCAGATGGGTCCTCAATTGCACAGTTAGGCCACGCTGAGTCTCGATCTCGCCCACTGGACGTATTCGACCGGACAGCACGTGGCCGCCCCCGCACTGACCTGCGTCAGAGCCGAGCACTCGACGTATTTGACGGCGCGCAGCTCGCGGGCCAGCTTCTCGCCGTTCTCCGCCGAGATGGGCCGCTGCTTGTTCTTGGCCAGCTTCTCGTTGGTGGCCGCGTCGTCCCGCAGGTCGATCTGCGTGCCGACCAGCAGGAACGGCGTCTTGACGCAGTGGTGAGTGATCTCCGGCACCCACTGCAGCGAGCGTGTGGTCAGTGGGCGTCCTCCATGAGGTCTCCAGGCGCATCACGGAGCCTAAGACATCGTCAGTCATGTAGAGATTCTCGGGTATGTTTGTGCCATAACATAACAGCGAAACGTCAGCAGTAGACACGTCACAAGGAGCGGTAGGATCATCGTTCAAAGCAGGACAATCATATGGTTGTGATGCCAAACTACGTACTATATGATGTGGTCGCATATGGTATGCAAATGAGAACCAGATCAGCACAGTGGCATGCATTCTTCCACAGCCAGGCCCAAAGTATCTCTACGCCGGCCCACGACGGACGCGGCACCAAGCGCAGTCAGTGCTCATCGAGCACCCTCCGCCGACCACGGGCTCGTCCCTGTACGAACCTTCTCCTTGACGTTCTCGAAGGAGGAGGGAGAGACGACCGAAAAGCAGACGAGGAAGACGTCCGTCTGCGGGTAGGAGAGCGGCCGCAGACGGTCGTAGTCCTCCTGGCCGGCCGTGTCGAACAGGCCCAGCGTGTACGGCTCGCCGCCGATCATCACCGTCACCGCGTAGTTGTCGAACACCTGGCCGGCGACACGGAGGGGAGCAGCGTCAGCGGCCGGAGGCGGCGCTACAGCGGCCGACCAAGGCCCTGCAGCTCGGCGGCAGTGAAGCAGCGTCAGCCGTCGGAGGCGGCGCTACAGCGGCCCACCAAGGCCCTGCAGCTCGGCCGCGCGGCGTCCAAACTGCGGTGAAGCAGCGCGCGGCCGGCTCTTGGCTTGCAGCACAACAATGCAGGTTTTGTGAACTTTGGGTACAACTTCAGTATGTAACATGTACAGGTGACATGCATGTAATCTGTCAAACATGAGCAGCTTGTGCCATCCATGAATGACCCTTAGCAAAACAGGTGGAACCTCCCCTGCATCCTATGACAGGCTGGCCGATTGTGTCACCTCATGTATGGCAAACTTGTTGCAGCCCATGATGTAACATAAGCCATGCATGCACAATCCAGTCTTGTCTGCAACATGACACTCACCTCTGACACAAGGCACTCACCGTTGGCACATACTCGGAGGGGAATCTGTTGGTGGTGTATGAGATGAGCAGACATGTCTTGCCCACAGCTCCATCACCCACCACAACACACTTGATGGTCTGCATGGTCTGGTCTGCTGACATATGGGTAGGTCATGGCAAAGTGCAGCTGGCAGCTTACAGCAGTGCTTCTATTTCAAAACTGCTTGCCTTGGCAAGTGAGCTGGCATTTCTTGATGGAATAGCTTCATTCTCAAAGGTAATATATATCATACACATACACATATATCTACGCATATTATGACATCCCATTGCCAAGCCATGCTGTACCCGCATTCTGAGCATTGCAGTTCCACACTCCAGTCTACCGGATAATTTTCCAGGTAGTGAATAAGCGCAGAGTGATCCTTTTCTATACAGTGAACCTCTACTGTAATGTGGGCTGGTGTAAGTGGCATGGGGTGACACAACATTGCTATATTTTTGGCAAGGGTTTCTGAATGAAAGTGCACAAGATTCCCTTCATCAGGTTGCACAAAATTGAAAATTAATAGAAAGCATCTAAACCTATTAAATTGTATTCAGCCCTGTTTACTTTAATCTCTGGGTCTTGGATGTCATTTAGAATTGCATAACCATTATAAAATTGATATGGCATAGCTGGCCATGGCGAGACCAGTGTAGGACCATGGAGCAGAGGTTGGCATGAATCATCAGGCACAGAAATAATTTATCAACAAAACATTTTTTACACTGATACCAGGTGACAACTTTACACCTGTCTGCCTCATCAAACCACAAATTATCTTCAGAGCTGCAGGTAGTTTAAAAATGCATGTGTATTAGGCATGCCTAGTGCCAAGTACTAAATTACTATCAGATTTCTGTTTAAGAAAAGCCAATAGCTCCCAATGGAATACAGACTTTATAGGTAAGAATGAACACACACCAAATTATTGCACTCAACTTGAGCTGAAAAGATGCACATTTTTATGCAAAATAAGAGTATTTGTCAGCTTACAGCTCAACCTAAAAATTCTGGTGTACCCATGTTACAGTATCAGAGAGATAGCACACCACTAGAATCTGGCCAAGCAAGTTAGGAAGGTTTACCTAGGTCCAATAATAAAAAACAGGCACCATTCTGGCAACAAGGCACCTACAATTGAGGGCAATATGTGGAGAGTGCTAGAAGTACAGTGGTTAAGCTGTTAGTCTTGTCAACATCGAGCATAGGGCTTAATTCTCTGTGGTACTGGTCCTTCCTGCCAGGGCAAGAGATGGGTAGGTGAGAAACAATACCACATAACCTCATAAGCAGGTACATGCTCAGCATATTCAAGTTCCTTTTAGTCTCTATCTGTCCCCTGGGGCCTGCACATGTGAATAGAAGCACCAACATGTTGTCAAGGACTTGTTAGGCTAGGATGTGCATGCAATTACCATCACGTTGGCAGTGATTTTAGGGCTATGTGACTTAACTTTATAATACACCAGAACCAATCACAGCCTTCGCTACATTTGCACAATCAGATGCTAGCTGCACCACACATCTATGCATTGGTTAATGCAAGCAGGATGCAAGCTGGGTGGGTGTAAGATTTGGGGGACGAATTCATTTATTGCCATAAATGGCACATAGTGCTGAATACAGGTGCTGAATGCTTCTATATGTCTGGTGCCTCTCCTGATACCACTACTGCATGGTTTGAATCATGCAGTTAGCTTTTTTAGTGTGCTTCAATAAGTGCAAGGCCCAACCTCTGGCATTAATAGCAGAAGCCAGTCTGTTGGCTGTCACATTTAGAATGTGAAGTCACAGCAGTGCACACACATCAAAGTCTAAATGTGTTCCAATTGTTGGCCCATCTTCAAATTCCTTCAGGTTCCATAAGGGAATGTGGATTTTGCAAGCCTGGCATGCCATGGACAGAAGTGTAAAATCTTGAGATGGTAAAGCTTGACTATGGCAGATCAACTGAAGTTTGATACCACTGAATTGAACAGTGCTCAGCACTCAGAGAATAGGATCCAAATATATTTTCAGCTGAAGACATGACTTAAAACGAATTAATGACTGGTGGCTGCCTGCCTATTTATCATGACCAGCCTGCTTTTATACCAAGGGACATGTCAATGCTGAATACATGCCAATATCCCTAACTCCAAAAACCTGGTCAGATAACAACCAAATTGTTTACCAGAACTCACCTTCACTTCACAACCTTTAAACTTAAAATGAATTACTTCAGCTGTATTCGAGGGCGCCTGCAACAATCGCAGGATATATTCACCCCGGTAACCCAAATCTTGACAATGGTGGGCAGAGATATACGGATATTTTCAAAAGCTGACCAGCCTGATAATAACTAGATGCCACCGTCACCTATACATCCATAATTACCTAAATAACACAAGCAACGCCAACACCCCAACGCGCGCCGACCAGACACCCAAACGAGACACTCTCGATGCGTCACACAGAAAGAATGGCTGCCAAACAGCAGCTGACAAATTTTACCTATACGGCGGAAGGCTTTTCGTATGCGCTTGGGCCGCACGTTCACCGAATACGAGAGTAACTAGAAATACGTCCGTGGGCATGGGCGTAGGAACGGCGGGGCCAGGGGGGCCATGGCTTCCCCCCACTTTTCAAGGTGGGGGAACCAGCAGAGTTACTGCCCCCCCCCCCCCCTGGTCTAGAGTCTTGCAGTCTTAGCCTTGCAGATTTGTTGCAATCTGAAAATCGCACACGGGAAATATGCGTCCAAACTGCTTAATAGATGTAAGATTTGATGTCCTGACGCATTCAAGGGTACTTCTTTCAGAAGCGTCATCATCTTCGTCCACCCGTTGGCCACAGCCCAGTATTAGCTGTTGTGCCGACGCTACGCGGCCTACGGAAATTGCAACGCCTGGCGCCGAGGTTTTTACGCCAAGATTTGCGAGCATGCATGCTGAAAATTGTCACTTAACGTTTATTACTAACCGATTCAAGTGTTTAAAGGTCATTATTTCAGAACCGTTACCATTTTCGTCCATCGGTGGACCGTGACGAAAAGTTAACTACTGAGCTAACGCTCCGCGGACTCTGGAGACTGCAACGCCTGGTGTCGAGGCTTTTGTTGCTAAGATTTGCGAGCGCGCATGTTAAAACCACGCCATATAAATTGCATCACTAATAGATTCTAGCTAAATGTCAGACATCCTGACAAACATGGCTTGGAGATGTTAATACACAATGTTGAACACCCGATCTACAATCAAAGTTTTTACCCCCAAATTTCGATCAAACACATCGATCTACAATCTACCTTCACGATGTCCTCAATGTCTGTAGAACGCATACAAAACATGATGAAAAAGCTCCTAAATTGCATCGGCTTAGAAAGAGTGCAATAAGTCATTACAAATTAACAACACCGGCGATTTATTTCATGCGGTCGTTAAACGCCTAATTTCTGCAGTTTATTGACCTTAACACGCGCTCCAATGGGGGTTAAATTGAATCGCCCCCGCAGGTTTTTCCAGCATGGTTTCCAAACGGCGCGGCGCGCCCGCACCATGTTTTACATAGCTATAGACCATTGAATGCCAATCATTTGGCATAAAAAATTTGTTTTGGCGAAGCCAACTTCTAGGGAATCATTCAATTTGAGGCAACAATGAAGTGTTAGATGAAACCATACATCTCTGAGATGTTTTCTTAGGCAACACAAAAACTGAATGAGCAAATTACGTTGACCTAAGGTCAGGTATAAAGGGCAGACCAAGGTCAAAACTAACCTGTTCTATTACCCTAGTCCTTGCTGTATGGGATAGTTTCTGGTGCTCATTTCGAACTTATTGACAACAAGAATCACATTATACATCTTGCATGGAGATCTTAGAGGTCAGAATAGGTCATTGACATAAGGTGATCTAGGTCAACATTTTGTTTTTAGAAACATACTGCATAGCGCAATCTTTCTTGCTTATTCAAATGCAAAACTCAGAGCAGCCTTGTATGATGTTCATCACCATGCCCTTCAAAAGGTCAAACAATGTCACCGACCTTAGCTGAATATGTGACATATTGCTTAGAAACACTTATCTAGGTTCTGGGGGCCCTTGGAGACCATCCTGGAATTTGGCCTTGTTTGACCTTATTTGACCCGAAATCCATCCATCCAAATCCAACCTCAAACTTTGAGCTAAGTGAGTTAACGTACAGGTCAACACACCCGGTGAATTTGGTGTCTCTAGCTCTCTTAGTTCCCGAGATCTCAGGGGGAGGGTCAAATTGACCCCCCCACCCGAGCGAAGGGTATCACGCCGGCCACCCGAGCGCGTGTTAAAAATGTAAACAGAATTGATTTCACGGTAGCTTCTGGTTTCTGTTCCAGTTACAACGTAAAACAATAAAACGGAGAAAACCGTGTCCCTTATTTACAAGTAAACTGTGTCCGGATATATTTTGTTGTGGGGGATCACGATAAAGGGGGCTTTTGTCAATCCTGTGTTCCTCTTACCAAGGCTCTGGCTACCCCCTGCCTACACACAAAAGCAGATTAAGTCATCTACCTTGGATGACGGGCAATTCAATGTGCATTGGGCCAATTCATACCTTAAGTAGGCATCTTCCCGGCGGCATTTTTCTGGGGTGGGGTGGTGTAAGGGAAGATAATTTAGAAAAAGGCACTGTTGAGCGTGTCCTATACGGACGGACTCCGCATCTCCCTGCCGGCAACCCGTCAGCTGCGTCAAGTTGCCAGCGGGTCCAAATGCTTTTATGTTGATCTCTTTGTGTCATTTGAAATTCCGACCAATAACTGTCCAGATTGGGAGCACTTGCATCGGTTTGATGCGACGCCAACAAAACTCGATAAAATTCCTTGGCCTGACCCTGCAGGCGCATGGCCATTACTCACATTACGTCTTCCCAGTTTAAATATCCAAGCATGGCGGCATTTTCGACCGCCTCCAAGAAATCCACCACGGACACAGTGCCTTCCTCATCTGGCTCAAACGTAGGTATCGCTCGCAGCGCCCCAAATTCTTGGATGGCGCGCTCTAGGCATACTGCGTGGCGGTCGTGTCGTATAAAGGCTGCTCCATGCACGGGTCAGTCTGATCAGGATCATTCCTGATCTAATTATCTCAAAGGGATTCCTTCCATGCCACAGTGCCAACAATATCAGAATAGTTTTGAAAGTCAACTCGCGCCGCTTCCGTTATGGTCCCCTTTTATCTTTGCCGACTGATTGCCGAAATTGGGTTTTCCGTTTGTAGGTTTTGTCAAGCTCTAACCGAACAGCAAACACTCCCTTCTCTCCTCTCCTCGGGTACCCATCCACGATTCGGTAAGCTGCGTGACGAACGTCAGGCGATTGGTAAAGCTTTTTTCCGGTTGTCAGCATGGGGTTGTCTGCAAACTAACCTCAGGTGATTTGGGGCCTTTCTGTTGACCTTTGGCCCGGCCCAAGATCATAATCTGCTGGATAGGATAGGCTATCGACCAAACTGCCATGGAATGGGAGAGGCTTGGTGTTGATCAGCCGCATCGGCTCAGAGCATTGGGTAATCTGCAGCCAATTTTGATGGTCACAGGCGTTTTCGGAAACACGTAACGATTTAACCCGACACAATGTGCATGTTCTGAACAAGGTAGACTGTGGACCAAGGGGCATCGAATGGCGAAGTTTTAGTGTCAATCGGCCTCATAGGCTGGGAGCATGGTGTTGTCAGCAAACTTATTTCTGTCGCTTAGGAGACCTTTGACCCGACCTAAGCTCACTATGTTCTGGAATTTATTAGCAATCAGCCACGACACATTAATTGGAAAAGGTTTTGTGCCGATCGATCCCATTTGCCCGTAGCATGGGGCTGTCAGCAGGTTTTTCCGGCCGTGTAGTCCCTCTCAGACGGACAGGGACCAAACGACCGACAAAACCTGTTGGCGTTCCCATGTTCCGAGCCCAATGAGCCGATCAACACAAAACCTTTCCCAATCGATGCCGCTGGGTCGAAAGCCTGTTCTTAGATTTTGTCAGCCGTGTGGTCCCTCCCCTGAAGACGTCACGGGACCTCCTTCGCCCGCATTGCGTATATTCTTTAGTAATCCTAAGGCAGCCAGTACTGGCGGAAAACGGGAGGATCTAGCGGCAAGTGAGACAAAAATTCCATGAAACCGCGATATTTCATGGAATTCTGTCAATACTGAAGATTATCAGAGAGCGAAATCTGCACGTTGTTAAAATTGTTATAGACACCAGTGTGGGTAGGGTCCATGTATTTCGGCCGCGCGACATGTATGCGGATGCGGTTGTCTATTTTTTTATCTTCGACGTCTGGATATATTTTGTGATAGCGCGCGTTTCAATTTCCAAACATCTTGTAGGTTCAGCATGACAGAAAAGGTCTCTCCGCCATAGGGGAGAGTGACTGTAGGACACGTCCTCCCAAAATTTTGCAGATTGTTGTTACGGCAGTGCTGTTATTATTCCTGTCCTTGTGCTTTCACGAAGACTGGTGGAGGAGATATGCTTCATTCGTCGGCTTTTAGGCATGATCTAAATGGTGATTATCAGTAATTTTCGACAGATTATTTAGACTCTGAACAACAATTGGGTCTTTCGGACCACGGTTGGTTCGGGAAGGACAGGAACGGCAGAGGAAGAAGCGTTGCTTGCGCGGTGAAGACAAACCTGTCATTTGTTCACCGACCAGACCTGGAGCCCGACTGCGAGGTGCTGGCGATCCAGTTGGGGGCCATCTACCCTGTCATCAGAACTGTTTGTTATCATCCGCCAGATGCTGGCCGTGACGTAGATTCGATCGCTGCCTTCCCCAATCTGCCGCTTCTAATCGTGAGTGGCTTTAACTTGCTTGAGATTTGGTGGTCGGGTAATGGCGACGAAGCTGTTTTTCCTAGGCGCACTGTCCGAAACTTCAAATTCGTAGACTTCGTTCAAATTCGTAGACTCTGTCGCTGAATGCGGAACGGTACAATCTGATAATATTTTGGATCTCACCATCTCCCATGGCGGCGCTGTTGCATCTGAGGTCGGCGGCAGTATGTTCAACTCACGCCCCGTATGGTGATAACGCAGTTTCCTGTAAAAGGTGGGCCGGCCCACGGCGCCATCCGATCTGAGGCGTACAACTACAGACAGGCAGACTTCAACGGTCTGCTCGCTGCTCTCGGGCTAATTCCTCACTGGCTTATGGGTTTTTTCTTTAGCTTGGCGTATTCCTTGGCGTATTCTAAATGATTTAAATGTTGATGATGCTGTCCGCCGTTTCTATGACGTTGTGTTTACCGCCATTGCAGACTCCGTTCCTGTTGTTGAGTTCCGACATAAATCGCATCCTTGCTTTGACCGCTCCGTTCGGTACTTGCTGCATGGCAGGGAGATGGCTCATAGAAAGCATCTCCGACCACCGAAAATAGATACCGTACCACTAGGG